CCCTGTTTACCCACTTCCCTGTTGTCAACTGGAAGTGTTTAGCACTTTATTTTGTTTATTATTATTTTTTTGGGTGACTAGGGAACCCGTAGCTACTACCTGAGGGTATGCACTAGGTACTTTGTTTTGTTTTCAGTGCATGGAGTAATGAATATTCATATTGCATGTTTTCCTCTCCTGTTGTGCACATGCATTGTGGTTGTTTCCTTTCCCTATTGGCATATTATATATTTATTTATATGATGGCTCTCTGCATGTACTATTTCAGTATTTCTCTTGGTTCCCCTCCTTCCCTTTTCTTGAGGTTATAACTAGAGTATAAGTATTCTATTTCTTCTTCTAATTAAAGGTGGAATATACAATTGGCTCTTTATTTATTTATTTATTTATTTATTTACTATTTCCACTTTGCATCCACTAGTTACTAACTAATTTTTTTCTCCATTTGCAGTGAAGCTGTTAGTTGCTGTTACTGCAAAGGTAAGTACTAGATTTCTGTTCAGATTGTTATTAGTGCTTTATATACTTGGAAACTTTTTGTAGTGTTCAGATTAATGTCTTGTGAAATGAATTTTAGCTGTGTTCTTTGTAAACAGATTAACTGAAAATTTAAATGGTTTCTAATAAGTTACGAGATTGTTACCTGAACTGGGGACCCAGGGCTTGCCCATGAGTTATGGGTTTGCACCTTGACAGTATAATTTACTAATTTAGTCAGTTTCCTCGCACCCTGCATGTCTAAATCAGTAAATTTTTTCAATAGTGCGGGGCACTTTGGTGTCTGAGCCCTGAAGGCAGCTACTTCTTCTGTTGATTGCTGTATTGTTCTACTGAAATTAGGTTGTGTCAGATGCATGTGCAGGGTAATAACAGTTCTGGGTTTTTAGGTGTTAAACCTTGCGGATAAAGTTTTTTCAGAGGCGCAATGGGTTAAATTGTTCACTAGGGAGTAGGCTGTTATGCTTTGGATAATTTTACAGTTTAGTAACAAAGAAAATATGATGCTGTTCTAGCTTGTTTGTTTGAATATCTTTATTGTACCTCTTGGGATCTTGCTTCTCTAATTACTCTAAATTCATTTAAATTACATTTTACCTAATTATCTTGTCTGTTAAAAATTTGAGATGTGATGCAATTGCTTTTCTTTTTTTTGCTGGTGAACTTTTTGAATTTTAATGTTTAAGGATGTCAAATAGAATGTAAATGGAGATGTTAAAATATTGGACACTCCGAGGACTCGATTCTGAAGAATCTTTTGACTCCTTTTGAGGTTAACCAAATGAATTTTCCTCATCTTTATCAATGGACATACTCCATTACTCCGTCTTCCTTATTTATGTTGAAGGTCAATACAACTATTTTTGTTTGCCTGTCCTTTTTCTCTTATCCTCTCATTCTGTGTTTAATGTTCTTCTGGTGTATGCATGGTTGTGAATGGTTTCATAATAGTATTTTTCTGTAAGTTACGCTTTTCTGTTTTTATAGCCCATTTTATTGGATGACATTAATATTCAAGTGGCCTTCGGCACCTCTTTCTTTCAGGATTTTTCCACAGAAGACATGTGAAAAAGTCTGGAGCAGCTTTTGCATCTGAATGCATCTTTACCTGTCACAAGTGCCAGGATGGTAAGCATGTGAAAAACAATGCCAAGAAGGGAAAGTCTGTTGTGAAAAAGAGTAAGAAAACATCCAAAATATTGAGGACAGTGTGTCCAAGAACGAAGAAAAGGGGTACTAAGGATAAACAACAGGCACAGTCTCAAAATAATACTAAAGTTCCAGTTGGTGTACCTCTTCGACGTTCTGCTAGGAGAGCTAAAATTGTGCAGGTGCAAGAGAAAAAAGCTAACAAGAAAGTTGGGCGGCCAAGGCGAAAAAAAATGAAATCAAGAAAAGGTACTACGAAGAAACCAACAGAAATTGTTTCACAGAAGAAGAGAACAAAGGTCTATCATATATACTGGCTGAATGGTCTCCTGCTGTCACAGAAGCCTAATGATGAACGAGTAGCACTCTTTAGGAGTAAAAATCTTCTCGTTCTTTCTAGCGAGTTAGATGCCACAATTGATTCACCAAAATGTAGTCTCTGTAGTGAGCTAGAATCTACACCTACAGTGAATTACATTGCTTGTGAACTGTGTGGAGGTATGGTAGTTCCTTTCTTTAGTTGCCCTCCATGGTTAAATTTGAATTGATAAGCTGTAGACTCATGTTTCTTGCAATCATTTCATAATAGGTGTGAGCATTTCAAGTTTGTAAGGAAGTGTAACTTTTGAGAACTATGTGGCCTGTATTATGCAAGAACCAACCATGGAATATGTTTGCTAGTATTTAATGGACTTAGGGAATATCATTATCTGCTGTTTAAGCATTTAGATCTCTTCACGTCATATTTACTTGCAACCATACATGTCTTACTGAATTTTTCTTATATGTGATTTTCAGATTGGTTTCATGGAGATGCGTTTGGTCTTACATGTGAAAGAATTTGTAGTCTAATTGGATTCAAGTGCCACAAATGTCTTAGCAAGAGTGCTCCTGTTTGTTCTAGTACACCTATGATCAGAAGTGGGGAGGCTAAACTGGCTGAGTTGAAGAGTGATGATGAGATTGAATGTGCAAATGATATGCATCTAGAAGAGAGAATTCATTCACATACACACTCAAAGGAATCTTCTCTTACTGCTTATAATGATGAGAAACAATCTCTTGAAGATATTCATGATTCAGGCAGCGGAGAGACTAGGAGTGTGCCTGTTGGAGTGGAATGGTGCACAGAAGCAAAGGATCATGATTCTGACAGTGGAGAGACTAGGACTTTGCATGTTGGGTTGGAAACATGCACAGAAGCAAAGCATCGTGATTTAGACAGTGGAGAGACTAGGAATTTGCCCCTTGGGGGGGTAGAACAGTGCACAGAAGCAAAGGATCATGATTCAGACAGTGGAGAGACTAGGAATTTGCCCCTTGGGGTAGAACAGTGCACTGAAGCAAAGGATCATGATTCAGACAGTGGAGAGATTAGGAGTTTGCCTGTTGGGGTGGAACAGTGCACAAAAGCGAAGGATCATGATTCGGACAGTGGAGAGACTAGGCGTTTGCCAGTTGAGGTGGAACAGTGCACAGAAGCAAAGGATTGTTCGAGCAAACTGGATGTAGAAGTGCAGGAGGACCCACTTCCATTGACCAAGGATTTTGCGGATTCTAGTAAAATGGATATTGACGTGGAAGCGTGCACAGAAGCAAAGGATAGTTCTAGCAAACTGGATATTGAAGTGCAGGAGGACCCAATTCCATTGACCAAGGATTTTGAAAATTCTAGTAAAATGGATATTGATGTGGAGGCGTGCACAGAAGCAAAGGATAGCTCTAGCAAACTGGATATTGAAGTGCAGGAGGAGCCAGTTCCATTGACCAAGGATTTTGAGAATCCTAGTAAAATGGATATTGATGTACAGGAGCACCAGGCACCAGGTTTTGTTAACTGAGAATTCCATCAAGGAGGATGAAACACCTCCCCTAAAGATTGACATTGTCAAATGACTTGTGTTCATTGTAAATTCATGCAATGGAAACAAATGATGAGAGGCTTTCAAATGTGGTGCAAAGCACCGAGACAAGGCCAGCCTGGTTAACTGGAGAAACAAAATTAACATCATTGACAAACAAGCATGTGGAAATTGTTAAAACAACAGCCATTTTGGAATGAATGGTAATTAGAACATTTCTTGATTCTTCTGAATTAGGCTCAGATTAATATATTAGGTGAAGAAAGAATGCAACCTAGGAGGGTAGGACTGTAGATTATAGTTTGACCCCATACAATTGGTGTGTAGTATCATAGAGTTGAACCTTGTGAATTGTCAATGAGATTTGAGTTGCATTTCTTAGCAATATTCTGATTGATTCACTCCAGAAGTCCAGGTTAGGTCTGTTCTCCTTTTACTTGGGTAATTAAATTGTGTTTGGAAAATGGTTTTGTTGAATGGAGCAGTAGTGCAGGTCCGAGGGGATTTTTGTATACCATGTTTTGTTGTTTAACAGTGAGCTCTATGGCCTATGCCTGTGTCTTCTACAATTTGATAAGCTAGCATACATTTCAACTGGCCATAATCTTCAACTTGTAGGGATTTAGTTACTGTTGGGATTGGGTGAATACTGAATAGGTGATGAAACCAGAGCAAAGATGGTGACTAGTGAGTGAATTAAGGAGAGATATTGGTGGACTAGATTTAAGGCAAGGCTGGCCACAAGATATGGGAGAAGTAATGGGCGCCAATGGTGTGATTTGACTGAATCTGAAATGGATAGTTTTGTACTCTGTATTAATTAACCCACTAACTTGACCAATAATATATTTTGAGCCTATTGAATCGGAATATATAAAAGAATATTACTTCGTATTATTATTAAAATTTTGATTTTACCTTTTAATGTGATCATAAAATGCTTTTTATATCTAGGAAAATGCAACATCACTTATAAAAATTATAATACTAAACCTCGTGAGATGAACTCAATTGATTCAACCGAATACCTTAAAACTTTACTTCAGTGACAGTATGAGATTTGAAGATCCCTAGTGTATAGAGTGTATTGGTAAATGGTTGAAACTTGGGGAGTGATATAGTACCTTCTCCAACAGTTATCTTGGATTTGACAGTGATCATTAAATACGTTTTTACATTTTTTTATTGAAATGTTCTGAAATGCTACTAACTCTATTACATTGTAAGAGTCAACAACGCCTCCTGAGGCTCCCACATAGAAGAGATCACTATATGCCTGAGCACAAGATGCTTGGTAATCATTAAATTAAATATGTTTAGTATAATAGATAGTATATGGACTGGTGGAGGTGGTAATTTAACATTTACTCCGTTTAAAAAAAGATCATAAAAATTTATCCAATATAGGTATTAAATACTGTGTAGTTATCATAGGTTGGTAACCACTAACCAACAATTTACTTAAGAAGCTCAAAATAAATAAATCCAAAAAAGGAATCAAGGAAGTGACAAATGGCGATAACACTGGCAAATCCAAGATAAGAAAACAATCACCACTGCTTCTTTCCTCCTCTTTCCCTTTCTTCTCCGCATTTCAGTAGCCCAATGGTGCTCTCTTCTACATTACCAGCGAATCCATCGCATACTGCGCCCTTTTCCACTACTCTGCGCTTCAAGTTTCTGCTCCCCACTCTCTCTACTCCTTCTCTTAGGCCTTCAGGACGACGACCACACAGGCTTCGCTTCAGAATCAATGCCAGTGCCAACGGAAGCGTCGTCGCTGCGCCTCAGAAGCCCGCCGCCGACACCACTGCTTACGGCAGGCAGTACTTCCCTTTAGCTGCCGTCGTCGGACAGGTATGCATAATTTGTTTGTATAGATGTATGTGCGGGATGATCTATCCCTGTGAAATACGAACTCAGTCATATTTCCAACTTAATTACGATAGCAAGCCTTAAAGTCATACTAATAATCAGGATCGCGATAGGGATTTTATAACAGGAAGTGTAATCATTTTGTTTCGTTTTCATTTGTTGCTGTTACTGCTATTTTAGTATTCTGAAACCAGTACTTGCTCAGGATGCTATTAAAACTGCTCTTCTACTTGGGGCGATTGACCGCAATATAGGAGGAATTGCGATATCTGGAAAACGTGGGACGGCCAAAACTGTGATGGCTCGTGGATTGCATGCAGTTCTGCCTCCAATTGAAATAGTTAAAGGCTCCATTTCAAATGCTGATCCTACCTGTCCTGAAGAGTAAGGTTACGATCAAATTAGTCAATCGCCAACTCCTATACATGTTAACTAAGGTCTATACAGGCTTTATCGAACACTCTGAGTTTCACTATATGTTTCAAAGAGAAAATGTGGCAATTGTATGCCACAGCTTTCAAGTTCCTTTGTCCATAATAGGGTTATTGCTAAACAAAGGTCTATAGTGTCCATAGAGTGATACTAGAATGAAAAACTCTTTTGGTATTAACTGAAAAGTTACATGAACTCTTTGAGTTGAAACGTTTTTCTTGCTTATAGCTGCTTCATGTGCTTGAATGACTTCGCTCTTCACAACATCATTATAAGTCGATATTTGCATTTTCCATCTATGTACCTTCTATTTCATTTGGATTTCAGATTTTCAGTTTTGTTTGCTTCAAAATTGTAAATGCACTCAGTTCCTTGAAGGTGGGAAGATGGACTTGCTGATAGAGTAGAGTATGACTCCGCTGGTAATATTAAGACAGAGATAATTAAATCTCCTTTTGTTCAGGTATCTTATTTATAGAAATCTTGCTGTTGAGTTAGTCATATTATTGCTCTTTTCTGTTGTTGCTGTTGAGTGGTTCTAAAGTTGAACCTGTCTTGCAGATTCCCCTTGGTGTAACTGAAGATAGATTGATTGGATCAGTTGATGTTGAGGAGTCTGTGAAATCTGGAACCACTGTTTTTCAACCTGGCCTTCTGGCAGAAGCTCATCGAGGAGTTTTGTATGTTGATGAGATTAATCTGCTGGATGAGGGCATTAGCAATTTACTTCTGAATGTGTTGACAGAGGGAGTTAATATTGTAGAAAGAGAGGGTATAAGCTTTAGGCATCCATGCAAACCATTGCTAATAGCTACATATAACCCTGAAGAAGGTGCTGTCCGTGAACATTTATTGGACCGGATTGCAATAAATTTGAGGTACACTTTCTGATACCATTTGATCTACCTATATAAACAATTCCAGTACTCCTATAAATATATTCTACTAATAACTCAGCAACTACATATACTTATTATTTTATTCTCATGCGTATATCTTTTTAGCTATAGAACATTTGGTCGAACTTTAGAAATATACCCTGATTTGAAATCCTCAACATGTGTTATACAGTTTATCGGGGGGGGGGGGGGGGGGGGGGGGGTGGTGCAATTCTTCTTAATCCTACATCTGAGAGCTTTGAGTGTACTCAATTTAATAATAATACAATCCTTCTGCAGTGCAGATCTTCCAATGAGTTTTGAAAACCGTGTTGCAGCAGTAGACATAGCAACACAGTTTCAGGAGCGCAGTGTTGAAGTTCTTAAAATGGTGGATGAAGAAACAGATTTTGCTAAAACACAGGTACCATTTGTAAAAAAAGAAAGATTCAGATGATTTAGATGACTATTCTACTACAGTGCTTGCATTATTTGGTGCTTTGAACATAGTCTTCAAATAATGAAGTTCTTAAAATGGTGGATGAAGAAGCTTATTATGCAAAAACACATGTTTGTCAAAAAGAAAAATCTAGACGATTTATACAACTATTCTACTACAGTGCGCATTGTTGGGCAATTGGAAAATAGTCTTCAGAAAAATTGGTTAGAACTAGAAAGGGTGAGGCTCATATTTTAGTTGGAAGGTGAGCATGTGCTGACATAATTTAGAAATGAATCATGTTCATTACCTGTAGATTAGGATATAGATTTGTTCAAAGATGACAGTAATCATTTGTCTATCTGAAATCCATAGGCATCATGTCTAATTTGTTATTTGTAGAAGGATAATTAGCCAGCCATGAGATGAAGATATTAAATTAATCATCTCACCTTCAAAATCCATTAAACATTGAAGTTCTGTCCTAAATCAGCACGTTTGAAGACCTTATAAGTGCTATATTGATTACATTAGTTAGCAATGCAAAACTTTGTACTCTATTTAGTCCATAATAACATGTATGAGCTTCCTCTATACGAAATAATCCCTAGTTAACAAGATACTTCAATTAACTTAATTGACAATATCTTTCCTTGCAAAAATTGCAACAATTTCTCATTGCATGTTCTATTTCCACACGCTAACTTCTGTATAACAACCAAGTCTGACTTCATTCTCTGAAGATAATTTTGGCTAGGGAGTATCTAAAGGATGTTACAATTAGTCGAGAGCAGCTAAAATACTTGGTTATGGAAGCTGTCCGTGGTGGTTGTCAGGTACTTGCCAAAAATCTCTACTAGTTTTTCATTAGGAATGCTCCTGACTGGTATTTGACTGAGACTTTCCATGTCATAATTATAAGCTGTCTTATGTACGAGTTATTAAGATTCTTTTAACATTTTTTCACACATAAGATGATAAATTGTATCAAGTTGAATAAATAAATGTATTCCAAACTACAAAAGAATAGCTTAATGGCATTGATATCATGTTGTTTTGCCAAAGACTATGATAACTTACCAAAGATGACTGATCACATTGTTCATTTGGTAAGGCTGCAGCTTAAAACATGATAAGAGAAGCATCCAGAACCATCTCAAATAAAATTTTCACATTTATTTCATGGAAGAAATTGCTATATGTTGCTACTAAAGTTCTCTACAATATGCCTGTGCGTCTTAATCCTAATGCAATTGACTGACATCCATTTTGGAATTACAGGGGCATAGAGCTGAACTGTATGCTGCTCGTGTTGCCAAATGCTTAGCTGCTCTTGAAGGCCGTGACAAAGCCAGTGTTGATGACCTGAAGAAAGCTGTAAGCTGTGTTATACTTTGTATTTTCTGAGTTATTCATGTTTGAACTGTTTGAGTGATAAGCAGTATGTCATGACACTTCTACTTCTTACATCCATTCCAGTGTTTTTTTAATTACTGAAATTGGTGATACAGTTTAGGCAGTAGTCTCTACCCTATTACTAGTATCAAGAATTAAAATTGTATCAAAGTTTATATCCACACTGAACAAATCAAATTTTACCATTAATTTGGGGTGGTGTGATGTCTCTGCTCAATTTAAATTTTACCATTAATTTTCCTAAAATATAACTTCATTCACGCTTGTTCTTGAACTCCAAACAAGTCAATATATTTTACATAAAACTGTAGTTGGAGTAGTATTTTCTGGACATACTATCTGGCTCCCTGGAATATGTGGAACCATCACATATCTAAAAGGAGAAGCCTTTTTGGGTTGTAAAATTTCTGATCTAAATCTAAATCACTCATTTATGTTCTTTAACTTTTAGGAAAGCTGAAAAGTTCTATTTTGCTGCCATCAATGATAAAAACCATTTCAAGTCAGATTCTTCAGTGTATCTCACATCATGTTACCACTCAATTGATTACACTTTCTTGTAGACAAACATTTTAGCATTGTCCTGTACATTTATCTAATGCAGGTAGAATTGGTCATCCTTCCACGCTCAATTATTAGTGAAAACCCACCTGACCAGCAAAACCAACAGCCACCTCCACCTCCCCCTCCTCAAAATCAGGATTCTTCAGAAGAGCAGAATGAAGAGGAAGATCAAGAGGTTTGTTAAAAGGAGAATATATACTTATATGTTCTCTGCTTAAAAAGAATTATACAAAGAGGAAGCTATTATACAGACGCACTAAGAGGAAGAGTATTTCTTGACTTCCATTTGATAAAGAATTCTCCATATTTAACCAGGAGGACAAAGATGAGGAAAATGAGCAGCAACAGGAACAGATACCTGAAGAGTTTATCTTTGATGCAGAAGGTGGTTTGGTGGATGAGAAGCTTCTCTTCTTTGCACAACAAGCACAGAGGCGCAAAGGAAAAGCTGGCCGAGCCAAGAATGTTATTTTCTCTGAAGATAGAGGTCGATATATTAAGCCAATGCTTCCTAAGGTTAACTAAGTTCTGTTTCTTTTCTATTAGTTGCATAACATGTTCTTCCTTTTGTGGAAAATTCACGAATGAAGTTTAATTGGTTCCGGTAAAAATCTTCATCATTATCTAAGTCATGTTTGAATTAGTTCTCTTGATTGCTTTGCTTCTTCTTGAAAATAAAAACAAAAGAAAAGAATAAAAAAATCTTTCAAAAGAAAAAAGAGTGTCTCCATTTCATCTATTCTAACAAATTTACTTGATGTCGTCAGGGTCCAGTCAAGAGGTTAGCTGTTGATGCAACTTTAAGAGCAGCTGCACCATATCAGAAGTTACGTAGAGAGAAGGACATTCAAAAAAGTAGAAAAGTTTTTGTAGAGAAAACTGACATGAGAGCCAAAAGAATGGCACGCAAAGCGGGAGCCTTGGTAGATCTCATTACTCTCTCTCTCTCTCTCTGCACAACCTGCCTCATTTTTAATGCCTTTAGTTTCGAGCTTTCTTCTTACTATTTGTATTAATCCTATTTGATATAACAGAGTAGGTAACAAATTTCTTGGGTTAGGACTAGCAGCTTTCAAACCATGAAAGAATGCAAGAAATTGTCAAAAGAAAAGATATTTGAACCTTGCAATTGGATTTTGATTATTTGACATTTACACATTTGAAATCCACTGAACTTAAGCTGAAAACTGTAATTACAAAATGTAACCTAGTGTTATAAACCCCACAACCTTTTTTAGTTAAGGTGGTTTTCGTTGGAAGTAGGCAGTCTATTTTGTTGGTATGGAATCGTAATGTTATCTGCCTTGCATAATAAATTGTAGTTATACCAGATAATATTGTGATAAAAATTAAAAAGTTCTAGAGCTCTTTAGCGAGTGTTTGTTGCTTTTCACATAAATTTTTTTTATTGCAGGTGATATTTGTAGTTGATGCTAGTGGAAGTATGGCATTAAATAGGATGCAGAATGCCAAGGGAGCAGCATTGAAGCTACTTGCAGAAAGTTATACAAGTAGAGATCAGGTCAGTTTGGAGTCACAAAAAAGCTCTACGTATTACTCCATATTACGGTGAGATGATATATGATGTTATGAAAATGTCTACAGGTTTCCATTATTCCTTTCCGTGGAGATTCTGCAGAAGTTCTGTTGCCTCCTTCAAGGTCAATCTCAATGGCAAGAAAGCGTCTTGAGAGACTTCCCTGTGGTGGGGGTTCTCCGCTTGCTCATGGACTAACTACGGTAGGTGAATTAGATTGGTATATGCAAGTGTTGCTTGTCGTACAGTTCTTTGTATAATTTATAGTGGTTGCATATAAGGAATTTCTTTTCAAAATTTAATTAAAACTTCATTCTTTGAAATTTTTTTCATAAGCAACTTTTGCTTTCTCACTTGATAAATTGCAGAAAATTGTATTTAGCTTTTCAAGCATATTACTTCTTATACTAACCACCATATAGCTTGGGGTATGTTACAGTATTGTTGTCTCATAGTTCAAGTGTAATCCTGTTCAGTGTTGAAAATTGTATTTAGCTTTTCAAGCATATTACTTCTTATACTAACCACCATATAGCTTGGGGTATGTTACAGTATTGTTGTCTCATAGTTCAAGTGTAATCCTGTTCAGGCAGTTAGAGTTGGGATGAATGCAGAGAAGAGTGGTGATGTTGGACGCATAATGATCGTTGCAATTACTGATGGTAGAGCAAACATATCACTAAAAAGATCTACTGATCCTGAAGCAGCAGCCTCTTCTGATGCACCCAGACCCTCTGCTCAAGAGCTGAAGGTATACACTGATACTAAATTAATTGTTCATTTTGTGATGATGGCTGCTAAATTTTAAATGAGTCTAAGCTACTTGTGCACTTGGGTCATGATTTTTAAATAATTAAGATGCACTCAAGCATTACTCGGTTTCATTCTGTAAATATTGCGTGCAGGATGAAATACTTGAGGTAGCTGGTAAAATATACAAAGCGGGAATGTCCCTCCTTGTTATTGATACCGAGAACAAGTTTGTGTCCACTGGCTTTGCAAAAGAAATTGCAAAAATTGCTCAAGGTTTGTTCACTGTTGAAACCTTGAGCACTTATCCTTTATTCAGGTTCACTTTTAGGAAGCGCTTTGTGACTTAAAATCCTTTTTAAAAATTTTCTTTTTTCAGGGAAGTATTATTATTTGCCAAATGCTTCAGATGCTGTTATCTCTGCAACAACAAAGGATGCATTGGCTGCTCTAAAGAGCTCATAAACCTTAAAACTACTTGATTCTTAATTGTAGAGTGAGTGAGGCTGTTTGATAGTATTATTTGAGAGGAAGTACATCCTAACCAAAAATTGTATTTTGCGGTTTTTATGTAAATTGCATTGCCTTTGGAAACACCCTCAATTCATTATCCTTGCATACATGTATTTTCCTTACTCTTCAGACCAAAAATTAAACAATAAAAAAAAATAGAAGGAAAGCTCCACAGGATTGTGACCCCCTCCTCGACAAACATCTCTTTGCGGCACCAATGAGCTTCAAGATGCTAAAATCTACACAGCTGGTTTGTATAGCTTCTCAACCATCTTTCTGTATTCTGTAGACAACAGTAACTGATGTTAGAATGTTGAAGCAAAAATGTGATGGGTAAGAGTTCCATTAGGCAATTACCTTGTTGATTGCCCCACAGCGATGCTGCCTGAGTGTTTAGAGGCGAGCTTGTGTTTGGTTCTGATGCATAAAACACAAGTTAGAAGTTGAACGTAAGATAATATAGAGAGAAGGGCACAAGAGTTACCTCCAAGCAAACTTTGAATAGAGAGCAGTATAGTCCTCACATCATAAGCAGATGACCATTTGTCCTGAAGGATGTCCAAGCATATGTTCCCATACACATCAACGTTGGGATGAAAACAACCTGTCTCGAACTTAACCTTGGGCGGTTTGAATGGATACTCATTTGGAAAGGCCAGAGAAAGCCTGTATTCTGTTCCTTCAAACACCGTGTCTTTGCTACCCGTGATCGTCCCTTTCCAGCAAAATATGTTGTCTTCTTCAGGGAAAGCTGATATTCCTGAATCACCACTCATCATCAGGGCCATCAGTTCAGATTGCAGCCTGTATGTTATAATAATGCAACACAAACACTTCAATTAGATTCTTAAAAATTTCACAAATTAATTAAGCTGTTGAGCATATAACCATTAATGTGTAATCCAACTATCAGCTTAAACTTTTAGTTGAGATGGAGCATGTGTTCTGATACTAGGAAAACATCAATTTCTTATTCAAACACTTATGATTTCTTACAAGTTCTATACTTTCTCAATCTTTTTCAGTCTAAAGAATCAAACCCTCACCACCGAGTTTGATCATGTGATCGCCCATTTGGAATGGTAGCAAAGTGCCATCACATTACATAGTAGTTTGTAGGAAAACAACAATTTAAATGTTAGTATAACCCTAATAATTCAACTCAGTTTCTTACAAAACCCTAGCTAATTAACAACTAGGGCATTAAGATGAAAGATATTCATCAATAAGAATCGGGAAAAATGAATCAAATACCCAAAACGAATTAATTCAGAAAAACTGAATCAAATATTGGACGTCAAACAAAATTGAATACTGGATCAGATGCAATTCAAGTGGAATGAAGATGCATACACAAAATACAGATAAGGGCAGGCGGACCTTTTGAGAACGGATTGGGTGTCGACGGACTTAGCAGACGGCACCGTCTGCCTCGTCGGTGGCATCGCCGGAAGGCTGCTAGCGTTGTTGCCTTGCCCGTTGTTCATCGTATTCGCAGCCGCCATTTCTCTCCCTGTTTTGCTTTCTTATGATAACAGGTTGACTTGATTAGAGAGAGTCTGGGGACTGGGAGCGTGATCGCGTGAGGAAGGGTAATCATGGGTTCTGCGCAGTGGTCACTATTAAACGTTGGCGATTTTGCGGCGCTTCACGAAAATTCAAAATCTTTTGAACGTTACTGGCTGCAACGGCTAGTAAAACCTTTCGACTTTGACAAAATATGACCGCCTTAGGGATTCTTTAATTTCTTATTCATGAGTTAGATTTTTATAAGTATTACATTTTTTTTTAGTATTATAATTTTTTTAATAAATAATTTTTCAACACCCAATATTACATTTTGATTTAAAAGGATTACATTTTAGTTCATAAGTATTACATTTTACATCATAAGTATTAATCAATTAATTTATCCATAAATTAAATTACACTTTTCTCATAAGTAATTATTCAAGTCCTAAAATTACATTTTGATTTAAAAGTATTGCATATTTCTTTAAAAGTATTACGTTTTTCTTTATAAGTAATAAACAATTTATTCTTGATTAGTACTTGTATTACATTTTGAACATAAATATTATATTTTCATCTTCACATGACCTGTCTCACGGATCATAGAGACTCACCATTCGATTGTATACTACGCGTATAACCCTAAATCTAAAAATAACAACATACCACCCGTACTCACCGTGATATAAATCCCACATTAGTACTTCTCCACTAATTAAGCATATTATTAGAGACACTGAAGTCGAAAGAAATGGAAGTTGGAAATGGAATTCAAAATGGAGCCTTGAAATTGGTTGGAATGAAGATGAAGATAGCTCAGTGTGACATTTATTCATAAATAATTCGACTGAATTGGTATAGTGGAACTCAATTTATTTGCAAAAAGATCAAGATATCTCAGCATTTTAATTTCCCTACACTAATAGCTAGTTAGATCAAGCTTTCGTAATTCGTTACACCTAAATATTCACTGTCCATGACAAGCTAGAATTGGACAAGCTAAGAGTAGCGCCTAATGCCGACTTGGCCTATTAGTATTTTGACGTTAGGGCATTTCAAAGTAAGGAGAAAGAGAGGGGAGAAAGGGGAAGAAAGCTATTGAAGGGGAGAAAATACGTTTCTCCTGACTGGGCCGCTGACTAGGTAATGAACATGTGAGACTATTGAGTCTCTAACCCAATTTTCTCAACATTGCACCATAGTCTCGACAACAATGCATTGAAAGTTATTGAGTCAACTAATGTTTAATCTCTTGAAACATAATATAGTTTCGCCCCATGTTTCATCAAAAACATATCTAAAGATCTATAGTAATGATATGAAAATCTCAGTATCTTTATTCCTTTTTTTTTTTTTTTTTTTTTTTGAAAGGAAACAACATATTATTAAAGTCAAACAATTAAATGTTCAATACAAGAAGGAACCCAATAAAACCAAATACGATGATTAGTATAAGAACTTGCACTTCTAATATAACGAATAGACACTGATTCAAAGTATCGTTTAAGAGACCGGTATGGTTTAAGATACTCCCCGCATAAGAATTATCCGGTACCATAGAATTTAGGAACTTACACACCATCTGTCAATCAGACCTCAATACAATGTTATGCCATCCTTGCTCATGTAACACATTGTGTTACGCCCTTTAAACTCGGATTAATTATTTAATTAATTCTGTTAAAAAATAATTAAAAAGGAATTTAAGTTAGGCAGAGTCCCTTAATTAATTGGTGCGGTCCACAGTGAACCGTGGACCATTGTCTATATTAAAGCCTTAAAGCCCGTTAGGATAAAGAAGTTGGGCCCAATATTAATCAGATTCTAATTAGGAGTCCTAAACCTATATAAAAGGAATTAGAAAGCCTTTAGACCCCCTTCCCTCCCATCTCCTTCTCCACACTAGAAAATTCCCTCCCAGAATTCAGACAAAGAATTCCCCGTCACCAAGCCTAGGAAAGATTGATAGGAAGAAGACCTTGGGGAAAGATCCTAGAAGTCGTAACAAGTTTAATTAAAGCTACAAGGTAACCCATGTCTTACAAAACCTATTTTCCTTGCTATCGTTATTTATTGGCTCCTTTGAATGATTGTATGTGTGATTTTGTATGTATGCCTTGTTAGAGCTTGTCTTTAGGATTTATGATGTGGATTGTTGTTATTCTTGATGATCTTATGTGGTGGTTTGCACGTTCTTATATTTAATTATGTTTAGAGCTTGTCTTTAGGGTTTTATATGATGGTTTCTTGATGTTCTTGAAGTTCTTGAAGTTCTTGATGCTCTTGAACCATTGTGTGATTATTCTTGAGTCTTGGCATGATTAAAGTTGGCGTTTAGGGTCCAATTGTGTTGTTTCTTGGCTTATTCTATGTGTTCAAGTCCCTATTATTATTGATATGTGATTGGGCTTGATTTTGGATAAAATTGGGGAATTCCCGGGATGGAAAAAATGCCAAGAAACATTCGTTCCAGCGGGTAGTCGGTGGGGGGAGGAATCCCCACCCGACCACCCGTCGGGACCAGCCACTGTTCCAGCGGGTGGATGACCACCCGCCGAACTGCCCGCTGGAACAGGGCAGCCTGCCGGCGGGAGGATGCCCTCTCGCCATACCGCCCGTTGGTACGGGCGGTGGGTTGTGTCGTGGGTCTCCGTTGGTCGGTTCCTCGTGCCCCGATGTACCCCGTTTGATGTTTGTGAGTCTTGTATGATGTCTTAGGTACCGTAATGTGAATTGTGAGTCGTGTCCTTGCATGTGGCCCATACTTGTATCGTGTGATGTCAGAGTACGGTTTGATAAGTGCATTTTGTCTATATTTTTGCCCATTCTTGAACCCATTTTATTTGTGAATTGCCTAAACACTTGTGTGAATTGTGACTAATTTATGTTGGTTTTATTTCAAGGTGTAATCATTCACAATAAGTGAGGAATTCAATGATTTGGGAAGATACAAGCAATTTTTATATTAAGAGATCAATCAAAGAGTTTGGAATGCATTTAGAAATTTTTAGGAGCCTCGTACCCCCTTGCGTACGCCCATCCCTCATCACATCCGAGATCTGAAAAGGGAAGCAGGTGGCGTACGCCCATACGCATGCTAGTACGTCCATTCCAGTGTTCACTGGAAATGCACCAAAAATGGTACTGCCTGGCGTACGCCCATCCCTGAGGGCGTCCCACTGTGCTCTGCTCTATTTAGGCGCGTTTTTGTGTCGTTTCAACTTGATTTTGACCCATGGTTAAGCCCTAGCTTCTCCCTTTCACTTCCTTTCATATTGTAGTGTTAGATTAGGTTTAAATTTAGGTTTCTTAACATATTTCAAGCTTGTAATCAAGGATTCAACACTTGGATTTCAACATTTCAAGATTCTACCATCCATTTTCTTTAGAGAAGTTTTCCTTCCTTTTATCTCTTTATTTTGCAAGATTTATGTTTATTACTTGTGTTTTTGTATTCTTTATGCTATTTAATCATTAGTAGTTAGTTTATGGACTTGAGTTAGGGTTGTATTACCTATCTTGATGCTTAGTTTGTGGTTATTGCATAAAGGGGATTTTTGCCTACCTAGGGTTCTTGAGTTTATAAAGAATTTGTGTTTGTATATTGTTAATGCTTGGTGTACAACATTCATTGGCATGTTTTGGAGGATTCTTGGCCTCAATGAGAGTTGGGTCAAGATTCCAAGCCACTCCTTGCATAAACCCGATTTTTCCTATGAAAATGGGGGAAATTGGGGGTTTTAGATGCTTTGTGTTCTTGAAGAACTTGGAGTTGATTCACCACGAGAGTGGGGCAATTCATTGTTCTAATCCTTGTTAATTTTCCCACGTGAGTGACTTATAGACTAGGATTCCTACGTGCATCCCCTCTATTCCTTGGTTGTGTAATTTTCCCCAATCCTTAGGTTGTGCTATGCATCTAGAAGATAATGCTCTCTAGCTTGAGTCATATTTCTTTATTTCATATTTACATCTTGTTAATATGTGTTTGTGTTACTTTGTTTAGTTAGCGTAGCCTCAATCTGGTTATGATTTGCTTAGTTTCTTGTTGATTTCCTTATAATAGTACCTAGTTTCTTGTGATTGCATATTGCGTGCCATAACCCCCAATCCTCTGAGGACGACATTACACACCTGAGCTCACATCTTATTTTTGCTACATCAGCACACCAAGCCATCTTCCAATTAAAAAAGAGAGGTGGTATGTGTCACGGAGATCCCACATCGCAGACTTAAGCCATCTTCCATTTGCAGACCCAAGCCACGGAGATCCCACATTGTAGAGAGCAAGAATGGTGTCGGCATGGTTGCAATAGACGCTAGGCGCTAGTCGGGTGGTAGAGTAGCGCCTAGACGACCTAGGCGGCGTCTATGCGGTCGCCTATGCGGCTGCCTAAAAAAAAGAAAAGAAAAACAATGCATGTGTGTAGGTGCATATGTCATATTACACACACACACACACACACACACACACACACACACACACACATACACACACACACACACACACACACACACACAATCACACACACACATATAAGTTTAAGTTCCAGTGCAGGTAAATGCTTCCCGTGCGGTTGTGTGGGTGATTAATGTGCGTGAGTTTTGTACTTAATGTACCTGAGTCTTGTGCTTAAGGTGCGTGAGGTTTGTGCTTAATGTGCGTGAGTTTTGTACTTAAGGTGTGTGAGTCTTGTGCCTAAGGTGCGTGAGTTGTGTGCTTAATGTGCGTGAGTGTGCACTTAATGTGAGTTGTTTGCTGAAACTTTAAAGTGCATGAGTTTTGTGCTTAATGTGCTCGAGTTTTGTGCTTAAGGTGCATGAGTCTTGTGCTTAAGATGCGTGAGTTTTGTAATTAATGTGCGTGAGTGTGTACTTAATGTGAGTTGTTGTTAAAACTTAAGGTGCGTGTGTTTTTGTGCTTAAGGTGTGTGGGTTTTGTTCTTAAGGTGCGTGAGAGTTGTACATAAGATGCGTGACTTTTGTGCTTAAGGTGTGTGAGTTTTTGTTCTGAATGTATTCTATTTGTGCGTCTGGTGTGTACTTAAAGTGCGCTAGTGTAATGCTTAATATGAGTCCACCCACACAACCGCACGGGAAACACCACCAGCACCTGATCCCTTATATATATATATATATATATATATATATATATATATATATATATATATATATATATATATATATATATATATATATATATATATATATATATATATATATATATATATATATATGAAAAACAATTAGTAAGGCAGAGTCGGTCGGGTTAACTCAGCTAATTCGACAGAAATGAACAAGTTAACTCGGTCGAATTCAGCCTAGTCAGCTGAGTTAGTCACTAGGCTGGCGCCTAGGCGGCCGGCGGGAGCCTAAGGGGGAAATTGCCGCAGTCTAGGAAAATCAAAATTCTTTGTGGGGTCAATGAATTAACTAATGACGTGCACTATCTTGCCCAGCATGGCGCGTACACTGGGCGTGTAAAAAGACACCTTATGTTATACATGTGAGATACAACAAAATTACAGAAGAAAATGAGAGAACAAAAACTGGATCATTGATTTTTTCAGGCGTGTAATCACTTTCCTATAAGCTTAAATCTCCCTCCATAAAAACAACAAGGTTCAAGATTTAATCTTATGGGATAAAAGAAGATGAATGAAATTCTCAATTTGCTTTGTTTGAGAATTTCCTGTAGAATTGTAAGCCTATGAAATATGTTGGTGTCATGCAAGTTGATTGCATATCTGGCATATCTCAATTGTTTGTATCTTGCATATCTTTCATATATCTTTCAATGTCTCCAAAATATTTATATAAAATATTTGGACGGTTAGGAGAAATTACATGAAGGTTACCGATAGTTTAAAACTCAAACTTCCACAAGATATATCTTAAACAATATATCTGTGTTGAGAAAATATAATTACATAAACCATGTATAACATATACATTTTCATAAGATATGTATCTTCATAGGTTACGCACTGCATGCGAAATTATTAAGTAATATATATATATATATATATATATATATATATATATATATATATATATATATATATATATATATATATATATATATATATATATATATATATATAGAGTTTTTTCCCAAAATGGTCCCTCGACTATCGCTCATTCTCAATTTTGCATTCGACTTTTAATTGCACCCAATGTGGTCCCTTGACTTTTAAAAACTCCCCCAAATTGGTCCTCCGTTAGAAATTCCATATATTGGGTGTTAAAATGAAGGACATTTA